CTACCACTGAACCACCGATGCTTGCTTATCTAATCAACATTTGTGGCAATGCCGCCCCCCTCCCCCGACCCCCGCGTCCTTTTCCCCTATACTAAAATTAAATTTAATTAAAAACGTATATCAGGCATAACACGAGATACGTTTCCTTTTTCGGCTAAGTGACCAACTCTTTAACTCTTTCTTTAAAAGTAACAATATCTTGTTTTACCTCGTGTCTCCTGCTACTAGCAAGTGTGCGTGACCAGGTTAATTACTGACACAGAGAGATAGCAGAGCATCCTCTACCAGGGCTGCACATTAATTTCACGTATTTTTCTATAACGCGAGAATAGTGCCATGAATTTACCGGTGACATATCTGTGAATATCTAGAAAACGATTTAATTAATTAAAATCAATTATTTATTATTAAAATTTGTGGCCCTGGTCGAGGGTAGTAGTAAACTATCTAACGCATGCATAAATAAAACACATACACGTCTATGACACGTATCTAAATGCAGGGAAACCCAGAGTAGCCTAAATACAAAGTGTTTTCGACAATTTGAAGACATATATTGCTATAAGAGCCTACCACTGACCAAAGCATTTCTTTTCAGCAATTATCCCTGTTTTCGTTTGTAATAACCAACTATTAATATTGATACACTATTTACTTTTTAATTTTCGATAAACAAAGATAGAATTCTACGCGAAATTTCATTAAAAAAAACAAGAATATGCGATCGAACTTCCTACTTGCACAATACCTAGTTTAGATAAATATGTAGATCATTAATGTCTTCTCTTCGATGTGTAATTCGCAATTTCAAGGCACACAGTTTATACTATACGTTATTTTCCAAAGGTTCTTTGATGCAGGTATCTGTGACTTTTTTTATCACAAAGTTATCGTATCAAAAAGATCAAAATGAACGAATACAAATCAAGCGATTCCTTTACTATATACTGTACATATCCTGAAATATGCCGTTGCTAACTTGGCGTAGAGATGGCGTTATTACGTAAGGACATGCGTCACGTGTTATTATGGCGTCACAATATTGGTACGTTATGTCGTCAGCTCACACTGATGGTACGATCTCGCTGTGCATGATTTAAATTACACAGTTTACGTCAACTGATGTTTGTTCTTTTTTCTTTTCTTTTTTATTACAACACCATTTACACTTTTTTGGTCGGTGATATTTCATAATGTAAGAGGGAATTTCGTGTCTTCCTTGCACGTATGTATTGTATTTTTTCGTACTCTGTAGTTTTCGGTGATATAAAATGAAATGCATCGGCCGGGAATCGAACCCGGGCCGCCCGCGTGGCAGGCGAGCATTCTACCACTGAACCACCGATGCCTGATTTTCACTAGTAGGCTTTCCCTACATGAGGCCCCAAACACCACCGTCCTTTTCCCGAACCTACACTGGTACAGAAAAAAAAACTGATGTTGTCAGGTCAACATTATAACACGAGAGACTTTTTTCCTTTTCGACTGAGTGACCAACTCTTTTTATAAAAGTAACAATCTACATCTTTTTAACCTCGTGTCTCCTGCTACTAGCAAGTGTGCGTGACCAGGTTAATTACTGCCACAGAGATTGCAGAGCACCCTCTACCAGGGCTGTAGATTAATTACATGTATTTTTCTATAACGCGAGAATAGTGGCATGAATTTACCGGTGATATATCTGTGAGTATCTAGTAAAAAATGTAATTAATTAAAATCAATTATTTATTATTAAGATTAAAATCTGTTGCCCTGGTCGAGGGTAGTAGTAGGCCTATTCTATGTAAGGGAATATATGCCAGATACTATCATGTCAGATATATGTCAGATGCTTTCATTGTAATTAACTTTTAAATATAGCCATAACTAACGTACCCAACATTTTCTACTTATCAAAAGGATCTCTGATGAAAGAATACGTATCTAAAAACAAGGAAACCCAGAGTAAGGACAAGGTGTTTTGGACATGTTGAAGACATCGTCCACATTCTATAGGCCTATCACTGTCCAAAGTTTTTCAGTGTAGCATTTATTCATGTTTTTCTTTGTAATAACCTGCTATTAATATACTGACACATATTGACGCATGATTTAATTTTGAATTTTCAATCAACAAAAATAGAATTCTATGCTAAATGGCGAAAAAAAAATGAAAAAAATACGATCGAACTAGAACTAGATCTACCTGTTTGCACAATTCCAAGTTTCTCGGTAAACGAAAGGACAAAATGAAGATCTAAGGTGTTTTTAAAGGCGAAATGAACTGTTTCTTCTTTACCTTATATCCAAGGTTCTTTGCTGTAGTCATCCGTAACTGTTTTTGGCAGTAAATTTTCATATCAAAAACATCAAATGGATTCAGTTCTTTTAAAGTGCTTCTTTTATGTACACTGTAACCCGAAATATGCCGTTGCTAACTTTGTGTACAGATGGCGTTATTACGTAAGGACATGTGCGATTATGACGTCATAGTATTGGTACGTTATGACGTCAGCTCAAGCTGATGGTATAACATTCAAATTACTTCAGCTAATGTTAGTTTCTTTTTTTATTGCAACGCCATTTGTGTTTATTTTTGGTCGGCGGTATTTCATAATCTATGAGGGAATTTCGTGCCATTTATGCATATTTGGTGATGTAAAAGAACATGCATCGGCCGGGAATCGAACCCGGGCCGCCCGCGTGGCAGGCGAGCATTCTACCACTGAACCACCGATGCTTGACAATAGACACTATGTTTGCCGATGTACCTACCGGCGCCCTCCCCCTCCAAATAATAAATTCACCATTATAATGTTGATGTGTTTTCTACAAGTTTGGGCGGGGTAACGTATCAAACATAACACAATAAATGTGTTCTTTTCCAACTAACTTACCAAAAGTTATTTTTCATCAAAAGTAATAATCTACATCTTGTTTGTTTCCGTGAGGTAAAGTGTAATTTACATAATTACAGGTGTGCGTGATTAGTTTAACAGGGCGGATCTAGAGAAATTTTCTGACAGTCTTCCAAATTATCTTTGTTGATCCATCCTCCATTTTGACCAGAAAACATACGATACCCGTCAATGTAAACTTGAAAATCTGACCGTCTTCTGGAAGACCCAGAAGACGGCCTAAATCCGCCCCTGTTTAATAACTGCCACAAGGTCAGAGAAAGTTTTAACAGACGTTTCTGTTCTGACATCAGAATTCACCTCCTCTTCCCAACCCACACTTTCTCTCCCCCGGAAACAAGGCTATATTCCGAAGGTTTTATCCGATAATCCAAGAAATAACAAAAATTCCTCTTTTTTGATGAAAAAGTTTCCCATATTCTCAAGGCCTTCTATAGTCCTAAAACCCACAAAATGACAAAATTCCTTCTTTTTGTAAAAATTTTTTTTCTTCGAAGACTCTACGTTCAGATGGTTCTTTTGTCTAAACTACATGCTCTGATACATTCTTTTGGCTCATAAGTTCTCTATGGCAGAGCCTGTGGTCTCTTAAACCTCAAAGTGAGCAGGAATTCGCGGTTTTAGTTAGGCCTAATAATGCGATCGCAATTACAAATCCACGTCTCCAAGTCACTAACTGCTATTCAGTCTATAAGGCCTAACAGAGATTTAAATACGTTTTCTCACAGAAGCACACCTTGAGTCCCTTAGCATATGCTGCAGCATAGAAGTACATCGTGGTGATAAACTTTCATGGCTACAGTAAACCCCCTATTGCCGTATCAGTTGATCCCTCGTTGATAAAATGGGACGTAGCGTTATATATAACGGTCTGCATCAGAAGATAGAAAACCAAATCTCCACACTGAGTTTACGCATTGTTTGATATCGCACTGTGATATCGTCCAGATATCGCGCAGAATATACCGTGTGAATTTATTTGAACTGGCGTAATGAGACTAAATTTGGTTTTTAGGGTACTTTGACGAGATATGTGAAATCAAGGGGAATAATGTATAAAGCGAGGGAAAGGCGGGGTCTCGTAAAATCGTTACTTAATAGAACTGAGTTTTCAGCAATTTCAAGATTTTTGTGTGTGAAATGTCACATAAAAACAAGAGTGACTGGACAAATTGGTAATCTTATCAGTTAGCAGAACAAACGAATTTACGGTTTAATATTGATGTAGGTATACCGTAACATTCTGACGCAAGTAGGAACAAAGAAAAATGGAAGCACGACAATCGTGAAGCAATAAAGTTGATATACACTTCTTTCATTGTGAATGCGTGAACTGGTTTCTAAATGGACTTCCATTCCTTTAGAAATCAGTATCTGTAAAAGTTCTGCGCGCAAATTTACCAGTTTCTAGTTTTGATCATTTATCGACACCCTGGGTTACAGACCAATGAGATCCACCAACTGAGCTATCACCTTCTCATCTCTAAATGGATGACATTCAGGGGGCATTTCAGCAGAACGACTGTGCCCTTTTCTATAAGCCGTGTAGATTTTGAAGTGATCGTGTCTAACAGCAGCAAAACTAGCACATACCGAGGAAAACCATGCAAATCTCAGGAAAGGTTGCCATAGTTACTGGCGGTGCACAGGGAATAGGACGGGCCATAGTAGAGGCTATACTGGAAAAAGGAGGAAAGGTGCGCTTTGCCTGTGACATTGATGACTGAGAGAGAGAAGGAAAGAGAGAGAGAGAGAGAGAATTGGAGAGGAAGAGAGAGATGGAGGGGAGGTGAAACATGTCCTCATTTAAGATTATGATGAAATTTGCACTAAAGTGAAATGTAGTGTCTAAAAATTTTATTACAGAGAATTTGCCACATTTGAATGAAGGGGGCGAAGTGGAGGGGGGTGAAGGATGCCATCAACTGACTAAAACAAAATTGACGTTCGATTACAAATATTGTTTCACCGGAGAGAAAACAAACTATTTTCAGGTTACTATTGTAGATGTCAACTCTTCTGTAGGCGAGAAAACCGCTGAAGAACTGAGAGGAAAACATGGGGAATCTGACGTCATATTTGTTAAATGTGACGTCACTGACAATGACCAGTTCGACAGTAAGTCTAAGAGAACGAGATTCCCCTATTTATAAAGAAAATGTTCAAAGTATAAAAGTATGAAAAAACAATATGACTGCAATTTCCTTTCTTATCCGCACAATTCAAATGCAGTGAATTACCAATTGTTTTTGTTTCGACTTTTACAACTGAAACCGTACTTTTTTCCTCATTTAAAAAAATATAGACCTGCTCTGTAATTTGTATTCCTATTTTCAGATGTTTTCATACAAACTAAAAGTCACTTTGGTCGTGTCGATATTGTTGTAAACAATGCTGGTATTTTTGACGAAAACGACGTGAAAAAATGCACATCGGTCAACCTGGTAAGTTCATGTATTGAGGTGAATTATCTTACTTTTTTGTGTATCTTTTTTTAAATAAACCAGATATATACTTCAAATGTATATTTATCTGTGTCTTTAACAAAAGAAAGCTGCGCTTCCGTCTTTGTCAAGCACCCAGAGTTTCAGAGGACATTGGAACCCAGTGGCGGATTTAGGGGGATTGTTAGGGGGTCCTGCCCCTCCCTCTTCGATTTCTGAAAAATATTCACACCCAGGGTCCCCTCCTGAAATTCGAATTTTGACTAGCTGAATCATAGTTCTAAACTGTACCAAATGTCACTGTTCGCCGTCTAAAATACAAAAAAATTTTAGGGGCCCTTCAGTGGACCCCAAACCCCACTCCAAACAGCGTTGCAACCGCATTCTGTCATTCCTAAATATCGGACCCCCCGCCCTTCAAAAAATCCTGGATCCACCCCTGAAACCTCCACACTGTTAGTAAAGGGGTGAGCTTTAGACCCCATTCCCACAGATTTTAGATCGATCTATCTCTGTGGGAGTCGCACTAGATTACTGTAAGCTTAGCCGGCTTAAGCGTCTGTCCCGCCTACTAAAAGATGTAAGGGGGGTAATTAACTACCGTGCGCGCTCGGCTGACATCAATTTAGCGTGAACCTCCAGGGAGTTAGGTCGATCTAGATGGATCAATCTAAATCTATGGGAATGCAGTCTTAGAATGGGTTCCCATACCAAGATCTATCCATCTGGATCGGTCTAATTCCTTGGGGAGTCTCACTACATTGCTATCAACTAACCGGCTTAAATGTCTGTCACGCGTACCGAATCAGCTAGGGGGTACAGATAATTACCCCCTAACAGCTTTACTAGGCGTGACAGACATTTAAACCGGTTGAGTCAATAGCAATTTGGTGAGACAGATAGATCCAAATTTCTGTGGGAATGGTCCCTAAGGCGATTCCCAGCAAGCATTGAACGACATGTTACACATCTTGATATTTTCAGAACTCCGTGATCTGCGGCACAATGCTGGGAGTGGAACACATGAGAAAGAATAAAGAAGGCGGTGAGGGGGGAGTCGTCGTCAACATGGCATCAACGGCAGGTAACTAAGACCCCATTCCCAGAGATTACATCAATCCAAACTAGATCGACCTAACTCCCTGGGGGTTCACGCTAAATAGCTGTCAGCCGAGCGGGCACGAAAGTTAATTACCCCCTTACAGCTTATAGTAGGCGGGACGGACATTTAAGCCGGATTATCTGGCAGTAATCTAGTGAGACTCCCCACGGGGATAGATCGATCTAAAATCTATGGGAATACGCCCTTAGACTGGGTTCCCATACCTAAATTTGGCAATTAATTCCTTGTATTTCTGTGAAACTGGCTTATTCTTGGACATAATAACGTAATTTTGCTCATGGCTTATTTAAGAAGAATTGCACTGTAAAATTATCAACAAGATGTTGGTACATCATACAGACATATTTTGGGGACTTAAAGTTTAGACCACTTAGGGGAGATAACCGTTTTGTGAAACCGGCCCCATAACTTAAAAAATGAATGTTTTGTGATATACATGTGTATTATATAATATATATACTGTAAAAAGTCTGAAGAGTTATCATCGCTTTGGAAATGCTCATTACAGGTCTCCAGCCGTATCCACTCATCCCTGTCTACACGGCTACCAAGCACGGTATTGTTGGGTACACGCGCTGCTGGGGGGTAAGTTCTGTACTAGGGACCATTCCCAGACCCTATCTTATTAACTGTGGATCGTTGTATCTCTTTGGGGATTCTCATTAAATTGCAATCAACTTAAGCGGCTTAGATGTCTGTCACGCCTACTGAAGCTGCTAGGGGGTATTTAATTATTGTTTGGCAGATTCAGTAGGCGTACCAGCTGGCATCTAAGCTGAAAGCAATTTAGTGAGAAATCCATCGGAGATGGATCGAGCCTGCTATATCGATCTAGGTATGGGAACTAAGTGGTATTCTACACTTTGAGTGCTTTCATTGCCGACGTGGCTATTTTAAAAAGCTGTGGAATGGTTTTCACAATGTTAAAAAGAGAACTACCCAGCGCGGTAGAAATATGTTTTCGGTAAAAGACGGATTATTAGTCACCACAATAATTGAACGACCCATCATGCACGCATATTTATACTTTATTCTCCACATTTTGAATTTTTAGAAATAAAATACATCATCGTACTTACATGTAGATGTATACCATTATATTTCCAGGCCAACCCAGATTTCCCGTACCAGCAAGTGCGTGTCAACTGCCTGTGTCCACATCTCACAAATACCAGTCTTCTTCAGCTGACGCCAGAGCAGAAGGCGGCCGGTGTAGTGCGCCACGTGCGTCTCTGGGAGGCGTGGTACCCCATGGCAATGAAGACCGCTCTCAGGTGTGTGTGTGTGTGTGTGTGTGCTATAGGAACTGAGAAGTGTTTTGGAGTGTTATAATTCCTATATAATTTCTCCATGCTGTCTGTGTTTCAGATGTGTCTGTTCTAGGAACTATGCCAAGTGGAGAAGTTCTTGGAGTAAGTCAAAGAAGAGAACCAAGGCAAGCCCTTACTTTAAGATGATCAAGGAGGCACTGCCACTGAGGCTGATAGGCCATAACCAGGTACAGAAAGTGTACTTACTAGTACTAATAATACTTTAATCAGAATTTTTTTTCCTCTCCTGGTTACAATTTGAGTCAGCCACTCACCTTATCAGAATGATTGTTCTTCCATTAAATTACAAATATGTAGACATTATTGACAGAGATCTGTTGATTTCAGGAGATAGAGTGTATGGTGACAGACGGCCCCCTGCTCATCAGTTGCTGTCTGGGGGGACAGTTACGTGTCTGGGACACCACCTCTGGCGAGTGCCTCACTGTCATACACAGAAAATGGTGAGTCATACCCAGAAACTGCT